CCCCAAAACCCCAAAACCCCAAAACCCCGCAGAAGTCAGCACAAGTTGAAAATTTAATAGAGGCGAAGGACTGGAGGAGTACTGCAGTGGAGAGCAGGGCTAGAGAAATTTTAGGCTTAAGTGACTGTATTTTTGGTGGAGTTCTTTTGAGAGGATTTGGGGGATCTGGAAACCTTTGATAATGAATTTATCAAGGGTGGCTGCACATGGACATTGGCTGACGTTGGATAGGATCTTGGTGAAGTAGTCAGGGTCTTGTGTTGTTAGAGGTTGGGGAGTTCTTTGGCTTAAAAATTGGCTAGATTTCTGTTAATTTAGTTATTTTTAAGAGTGAATTACATACAAGATTATCTGTCTTTGGCATATCTTACCTCATTACAATGATTCTTAACTTTGAAGTAGTATTAGTAGTGAAGGTGAGCTGAGGTCCTCATATTTTTCCATCTTTAATACAAAATTCCTCCAAGGAAACTCCATCAAGAAGGAGGTTCACAAAATACCTTGAAGAAATAGTTATATACTGAAGGTTGAGGGTCCTCAGAGAATGGACGTCCTTAATCAGACACTTCATAGCACTATTTATTCTTAATTTTGACGAGGTTTTACTTGGTAAAAATACAATAGATCACTGGCTATTTAAAAGAGAATCGTATAATTCTCAGGAATAATTTAAATTTCACATTTAGTAAGGAAATTACTTCAGCCAATTGCTTGGCGTTGCCGCTTAATGCCTCAATGGTTAGCGAATCTTTCATGTATGCGAAGTCTTGTGCTTCCTCACTGATATACTTAGAAGTAGTTGATCCGATAGATTTCATATGTCTCTGATAAACAGAACTCAGGAGATATTTCTTAATTCTGTCTTCTTTCTCAAAGAGACTGACTTCTAAGTCTTTCCTTCCTTGTTGGCTGGTCAGAGATTGGCTGAGAGATTCCATTTAAATTTGGTTTATAATTTTAAATCAATATTTCTCTTTGTGGACGGGGTTTTGGGGTTTTGGGGTTTTGGGGTTTTGGGG